CCCACACACTCACACAAATACATGTAAACTGGAATCAAAATGTTTATGAACCAGTGAAATTGAGATCCAAGTCTGCAAAAAAAACCCTCTTCACAAAAGACAAATAAGAATTATCTTAAGTTTCATATTTTTCTTTTTTTATTTTAAGCATAGTTACAGTTTTTTCTTTCTTCTATGTACTGTGCTCCTTCATGATGTAGGTGATCATGGCCTCCACATCTTTCTGTCACTTGTAGCTCTTAATAAATTTTGTCTTTTTTGTTGTTTCTGCCACCTATCTGCTCAAGCCCATCAAGTATGTTATGCACTGCTTTATATATATATTTATATATATATATATATATATATATATATATATATATATATATATATATATATATATATATAGTTAAATTATAGATCAATTCTGTGAACAAGACAGATTGGTATGAAATGACAATTGAAAAAAATCTTAGATTTTTTGTCTTGAAAAATCAGAAGACGAAATGCCTTTGGTAAAATCCAAGATTTTTTCCAATTGTCATTTCATACCATATTATATATATATATATATATAACACCTGAATATATATATATATATATATATATATATATATATATATATATATATATATATATGTAAAATTTCTCAGAATTAACCTGTAGAAAAGACAATATGTATAAAGGAAAAAAGACAATAGGAAAAATGTAGTTTCAGCCAACACATTTTGTCCAATCTGGATTTTTCAGGGAAAAAAAAAATGAAATGAATTTATTGAAACAAACATGAGTGTAGTATTTATAAAATGAAAAATTGTGGTTGAATTTATAAATGCTACACTCATAAAAAAAGAAAATGATTCAATCAGAAGGAAAATCCTCAAAAGTGCTGCCATTGGATATTATCCAAATATTAATATACTCCCTGGTTTTTTCCCAATATCACCTTTCCTAACAGAATCATTACTCTCCTAAGCCAATGTACACAGCAAATACATCAGGAAATCAAAAGGAAACAGCTGAATCCGTCAACACAACAATAAAATCTATATTTGTAAATGTGAAAATATTCTCCTTAAACAAAGTAACTGAAGTAATTTTTCAGTTGATCATATCATTCTTCTAGTTACTGTTGTTTATAGATATTTTGTTTCAATAAATTCAATTCATTTATTGCCTTGAAAAACTCCACACTAGGCGAAATGTGTCAGCTAAAACTAGTTTTCCTACTGTCTTTTTTCCTTTATACACACACATGCGCATATATATATGTGTGTGTGTGTGTGTGTGAATAAAAAAATATAATCTTACTTATTATAAAACGCAGATTGTGTGTCTCTGTGAGGGTACGTTTATATATTGGATCGTATTTCCTACATTTTTCAACCGATTTCAACAAAACTTAACAGGACTACATAAAATTACCTTGTCGTGGTTCTGACAGCACCAAAAATTGGAAAAACACAATTGTTTTTGCATGAAATCAATTTGAAAACACGATTAAGAGGCTTTAATGAAAGGGGGACAACTCATATCGAGTTATACTTATTAATATCAAGTTATAGATTTATACTTATTATAAAACCCAGGTTGGTTGTTTGTGTGTGTTCGTTTATATATGGGATCGGATTTCCTACATTTTTCAACCGATTTCAACAAAACTTCATTTTTTTTGGCAGGTAGTGTTTCTTATTGTCTTGCACACTTTTTTCTTTATTTTTACATTAACAATGCTTTAAAAATTCCATTTACAAGACAATTGTTTATAATAAAATTCTATTCAATCGGTAGACTCATAACGATTGAAAACAATGTTTTTGTTTGAGTTTGGGTTTGACCAATTCGTAAAAAAAAAAAAAAAAATAAAACTAATTAAGACATGCGTGACCGTCAACCTTAAACAATAATCTTTGTCAATTTTATTCTTCAGTCTTTATGATGATCAATACTTGATCTATCTCTTACTGTTACATCCCCGGCAACGCCTGGCTCTACTGCTTGTAATAAATATTTCTAAATAAAAATAGTAGAAATCTAAATAAAATTAATTAAAATAATTATATAATATATATAATAATATATATTTTTTTTATATATATATATATATATATATATATATATATATAATAATATATATAATTTATATAATAAATATAATAATATAATAAAAATAATAAAAATAATCTAAATAAAATAATAGAAAAATATGTGAACAGAAGAATATATATATATATATATATATATATATATATATATATATAATAAATGTGTGTGTGTGTGTGTGTGTATGTAGAGTTGGAGATGGGGAGACATAAATGCAAATAATCGTTATCATTATGCATCAATGGGAAAAGGTTAAATATATACAAGGGCTAAGTTGTAAAATTTCTGGCATCCAACATGTTTTAAATAATAAAAAAATTAAAATTTAACATTCTTACATCTACAGCATTTTTCCTGTGTGTGTAAATATAACCAATGTTTATGTTTATATATCATCATGCTCGTTAACTTACTTAATCAGATAATTGCTCAATTAAATCAAGAAATTTGACAAATAGTCAACACGAACACAGAAACAGCTAAAACTGTTAAAAAAACAATCAATTATAAATACTAACAATAAAAAAAAAAAATAACTAAATATTAATTAAATTTCATTAAATTCAGGCATAAACATGCTAAATATATTTGTACTTCTAAAATACAAAACAAAGAAAAAAATAGATTAAAATGAAGCCTAAAATGGAGTACTGTTGCCACATTTGGGTAGAAGCTGCCCAGTCGTCACTTTCTTGATAGAGTTACAAAGCATCTCAGTCCTTGTTTGAGAAGAATTATTTTCCACCCTCCAACTTCTCTCCTCACAGATGCAATGTGGTGAGTGTCTCTCTGATCTATGGCTACTACCATGAAATCTGCTCTAAACAAACTCCATTCCTTCGTTCCACTAGGTCTAATCTTCACGTCTAGGTCATGCCATGTCACTTACAGAGTAACAAACAACCCACATTCCTTCTGTATTCTATAAGATCCATTCAAACAGTTTCTTCCCATGAACCACTGCCCTGTGGGATAGACTCCCAAGAGAATGTTTCCTCATCACTAGAATTTTAACTTATCCAAGTCTAGAGTTAATCATTATCTTCCACTCCTATTAATATAAACTACCCCTTAATGTAACCAAATACCTTAGTGGCCCCTGGGACTTTTATAGGGTGAACCTTACTATAACAAAAAAAAACAAAAAACAAAAAAAACAACAACATGATGCTGCTAGTTGATTTTGTGAAAATACCATACCTGAAAAAAGAAAGACCCAATGTGTATTGAAATCAGACTTTAAAACCACCAAACACATTGAGACAAAACTAAAACTCTTTGATTATGATAGATAAAAATGCTCAGAAAACACTGGTCAGTTTATGTTTAAATTTTCTTTAAAGACTAGAAAATAGTCCAAACAGTAGAAAAATTAAATAATCACTCTTAAACAAATTGCATAATCAAAATATATATATATATATTTCATTAAAAATGACAGACAAGGTGCTTTTATTTAGCTTTTTATACAATTTCTCATATAAAAAACTAAATAAAAGCACCTTATCTGTCGTTTTTAATGAAATGTGCATGAAAGGAGGATTGCTGCCTAAATACACAAATATTATATATATATATATATAGTTTTTCTAATTTACCTTAAAAATAAACTGTAATTCATATTAAAAAATAATTCTAGATCAATGTATTTAAGCAGATATTTATCTTCATGTAACCATGAACTCATTTCTCTTAACAAGCTAGGGTTATTTAAGTATTTTAAGATAACCAATTTTTCATCAAGACACAAGTTACATCTATTTCCTTTCCCATTACAAGATTTGGCTCTTGCTATAATATCCCAGCTGATGGAAGGTGAGTTGCCATCATACTTTAATTGCCAGGAACATTTGGAGAGAGTGGTGTTTTTATATTTTATTTTATCAAAAGTCATTTGATGATGGTAGAAATTAAATTTCCAAGGATTTTCAGTGGAACCAAAACATCATTATCATAATGTATACTTGCTTAGTATACAACATTATCAATCATACATTGATCATTTAAGAGACAGATCATAATTTTTGGGCAGTTGCATTTGATTTTAGAAAAATTTACATTGTCTTTGTTGGAAATATATTTTTTTTTTTATATATATATATATATATATATATATATACAGAGAGAGAGAGAATTAAATAGTCTATTTAATATATATATATATATATATATATACAGAGAGAGAGAGAGAATTAAATAGTCTAAAACAAACTTGCATAAAACATAACTATATACCTTTCTCTTTCTCTGCACACATGCATGCACATCTCTCTATATAATGAATCTGTATATGTGTGTGTATTCATAAAATACACATACAATTCTGCTTGTATATTTTACTTTTGCAGATTATTTCAGAAAATGCATACTTTGAAAAACTTTGCACAAAGAGTTTATGACTTTTTTCATAATTTTCAGATAATAATTTGATGAATCAATCAAAATTTTGCCACAGTTTGTCAAAATGTTGTTCAAGAGAGAATAATTTATTGAATCACTCAATATTTTCATACAACAAAAACCCATTGATTTATTTCCATAACTTAAACCTAAAACAATCCTTGTGAATTACTTTTTTGTTTTTTTGCTTATTTTTAAAGATAGATTTTTCAAAACACATGATACTATTTAAGTATGTGGTTTGCACAGTGCTTGTAAGTAAATCAGAAAATGTCTTGTAAGCTGGAAACCATGAAGTACTTTATTTTTTATTCCCTTCCATACAAGCAGAGAAAATATTGTGGGAAACATTAAAAGTTTTTCATCTCAAAGAACAATACAAAGAATATTTTGATAAATAAACATCCTAATTTCAATTCATAAAATCCTATAGCTAAAAGATAAAAACATTGTTTAACAATAACTCCTGAAATTATGCATGCGAGTGTTATTCAAAAATCTACGAAAGTGATTAGTGCATGGGTCAAACAACCGCACCCATTTCCCAGGCTGAGCTGAATATTGTCCAAGTTGTATATAATTATTTTTTAAATAAATATAGATATTATTTTATAAAGTGCAGTTATTACTTGCTTGAAAAAAGTGCGCATTGTAAAATAAAAATTGTCTCCTTCCCAGCATTTTAAATTATCTTCATGTCTTTCCAAGGTTATAGAATAATTTTATCTTCATGTTTTTTTCCAAGGTTACAAAACACATAAAGAACAAGAAAACCTTGACACAGTTTCATTCTGAAAAAAAAACAAACAAAAAACAAAAAAAATGAAACAAAAAACAAATTCTCTTTCGCAAACATAATTAAAAATGGTAACTGATTTTTTTTTCTACAGTGGCACACATTACAAAATAATAAAATTTTGTACATAAGCATTTTCATGAAGGACGTGTTTTAAACATTCATGCCACCCACAATCTTCAGAAACTTAAATGCAGCATCAATCGCCATCTTCTGCCTACATGAAACCTGTTTTATTGTCCTTTCTCCTCACTAAAATCTTTCTCTCCAAGTAACACCTTGCATCTTAGTGGCATTATTGCCTGTCTTGTGGTAAAATGGTAAAAAGATCTACCATGGTGTATACTGTAGAGCCATTGCAAAGATTATAGTGCTCACAATTAACTGTTGGAGTGTTATGAACTCTAGGATCTTGACTGACATGGATTTCAAAACCCAACCCCTGGCCTAACACCAGACTAAACTAAGATTATCAAATTTCCATAAGTCTACAAGAATTGCCACCTAATAGCTTGAGGAAGTTGAGCAATCAAACAGCTTTATCAAAGAAAAAAAAAATGTGTTGAGATGATAAAGTACTTCTGAAGGTGGGTGTTTAAAAGTTCTTACTAGTTGCCATTTTCATGACTAAAATGTACTCTTGCATACTAAATAAAAGTGCAGACATGATTCATTTATTCACTTTGATTTTCACCCTGGTGTGACACTTATTTAAGCTATTCCACTTGTTATTTGCAATAGGATTAAACCAATTCTTGCCCACGTGGATCATCTCAATAGACTGTATGTAGGAGATAGTAGAATAAATACTGATGGGAAAGGCATGTACCACATGTAGCCCTGATGTGGCACATACTATGCAAAGATTATAGTGTCCATAATTAACTGTAGTGTGGGGTTTTGGACTCTAGGATCTTGCAGAGGATGATTTTAATGCTTCACCTCTGGCCTAGTACCAAACTCATCTAAGATTATTAAATATCTATAAAACTACAAGAATTGCCATTTAATAGTTTGAGGAATTTAAGGAATCAAATATCTTTCTCAAAGAAATGGCAAACATGAGTGTTCTTTATTTCTTGGTGGTGTGGATTTGAAAGATAAGTCACATGTCTAACAGTGGTGAATAATTTGATCTGTGAGCAGATTGATGAATCTCTTTAAACACCTTGTGCTTTTGAGTATCTCTCTCTCATTCGCCATCTTTCTCTCTCTTTCACTCACATTCTCTTTTTCTCTCTCATTCTTTCTTTCTGTTTCTCTCTCTCATCCTCTTTCCCTCTCTCATTTTCTTTCTTTCTTTCTCATTCTCCATATTTCTCTGTCTCTCTTTCTCCCTCATTCTCTCTCTCTTTCCCTTTCTCTTTTCTCTCATTGCTTCCCTTTCTCATTCTCTCTATCATTCACACTCTCTTTCATTCTCTTTGTGTCTCTTCAAGAGATGGGTGATACATATGTTGTTCTGAGCCTATAAATGTTAATGATAATACTCAGAATAAAGAAGAGACAGCTGAAATTTCTTGGCCACATAATGAGGAAAGAGGGATTGGAAAACTTAACCCTCACAAGGCATGAAGGCAAGAGAGATAGGGAAAGGCAGTGATTTACTTATTTGATGAGCTTGTGTGAATGGATAACAGAACAAGTTGCTGGAGCCTTAGCAATGGGAGAAAAATTGCTAAGCGCCACACAAGATAGAAATTTTCAGAGAACCATGATTGCCTATGCTTTGAAGGGATGCAGTTCATAGATGAAGAAGAATGGTAATGTCAGCCGTTTCCTTGTAAGGAAATTTTGTGATGTCAACGAACACTTGTTGTCACTTTAGTAATGCTCGTTGTAGTAGAGATTTTGTAATCCCAGATACAACTATAGTATGCCGTTAAACAACACTGGTGTCAGATGCCTTAGAATAATCTTACGCTAATAATACTTGCTCAATAATACTTGCTTGAACAGTAATCCATATAGTGATCCAAATAGACAAATAGTATAGTGAATAGAGTAGAGAACAACAATCTGTATAATAATAGAGGATAGAGTAGAAATAGCGATCCAAATAATAATAGAGGATAGAATAGAAATAGTGATCATTAGTCATCAGCTACTTCCTACGTATATACGTTTTTCTCTATGGTCACATGGTCTACTTAATTCAATAATGGGATCGCCTGTGTTTACTCACTGGTGAGCTATGTTCAAACTCAAGTGTCGGCAGCTACATTTTATATTCTTATATAACAAGAAACATTCATCATTCACTGATTAAGCAACCAGTGCTACTATTGGTTTAAATTGTTTTTTTTTTTCAACATAATCTTATTCTGTGTCAATGCACTTAATACTTCTCCATACATACAATGAATATTATTCTGTAAAAACCTTTGGCTCAAAACTCATCTAATGAGCATGCCAAGCTACAGACTTACTGATCCACTAATGTAATTAAGCATTAATTGAGCTCTGTAATTACCACCTGGTGATAAAAACTCATTCATCTAAGACCATGCAATTTATGAAATGATAGCCTTAAAGCAATTACTAGCTAATTATTTTGTAATTCAAAATTAAGGCTTTTTATTGACGCCTAGTATTGTATGAATTAAACTAAAGATTTTCATACATTGTTTTAAGTTTTTTCTCAGTACAACTAATTAATATTCAAAATGGATTTCAGCTCATATGCAAATTAGATGTTTAATTTTCAATATACAGGTCATTTGCTCTAATTTTCACATATAATGTCAGGCTGCTCATTTACATATAAACATATCTGCTAGGGTGGCTAGCTAATCAGTGAAAGTGTCTGCATTAGCTAGGGTGGCTAGCTAATGCAGACACTTTCACTCAGAAGCATTTGTGTTTCTTCAGCTCCAACCAAGCCAAGCTGTTGTTTTGATTGTGATTGTTCTGAACGGAATTTAGATACAGTTTCTGGGAGAGAGTGCATAATCTGGTGTGATTATTAGTTGAACACAGCCAGTACACTGAATGTGCAGGTGGTGTAATGGCTCTTCTATGTGTTCTGTTCCTTTAGAGCATTGGTGATCATGGTTCTCCATAACTTCCTGATGAGAAATCCAGTTATGGCTTAAATAGCAAGACAGATAGGTTTTCAAGCACTTCTCAATGATGCTGTGTAATCGCATCATCTCTCCAGTTTGATATTTTCATGTCCTTGACAAATCAATAAGATTTGAGCTCTCTCTGTCCCTTTCTCATTCTCTCTCTCTCCTCATTCTTTTTCTCCCTCTCATTTTATTTCTCCTTCCTTTTCTAATTCTTTCTCTCATTCCTTTTCTCTCCCTCTTTCATTCTCTTTCTCTCCCACCTTTCCTTTCTATTTCTCCTTCCCTTTCTCCTTCTCTCACTCCTTCCTTTTCTCATTCTCTCACCTTCTCTTTCTCCCTTGCATTCCCTTTCTCATTTTCCCTCTCCTTCCCTTTCTCATTCTCTCTCACTTTCCTTTTCTCATTTTCTCTCGCCTTCTCTTTCCCATTCTTCTTTGCATTCCCTTTCTCATTCTCTCTCGTCTTTCCTTTCAGAATCCTAATGTTCTAACCACTTTACCATACACCAATCTATATAAGAAAATTTTAAATGCATTTTTTTTAATCATTTCACCCCAAGTAAGGCAATAATGCCACTAAGATGCAAGGTGTTACTGGGAGTGAAAGAGAATGAACAGGTTTCTGGAAAGCAGAAGATGACAATTGATGCCACACTGAAATTTTTGAAGATTGTATATTGGCAGGGAAGCAAGAAACTAGAAGAGTTCCAAAGGTGAGAAGTATGAAAAAAGAAACTATTCAAACAGAGCTTTCTATTACATCTAGCTATTTCAACATTAAATGATGAGACCTAATTGCCACTCTAGTAGTACACTTAAATTCATGCAGTCGAGATACTCAGGAGAAGAGCTCATTAGAACAACTGCCATGAAAATATTTATAGAAAAGATGGAGGGAAGCCACATCATGATGGAGGGTAAATGACTGAAGTCGAGATGCCAGGGCAGGACTGGTAATATTACAGACCCTTCTTTGAATTTTGTCAATATTTAGCTAGAGCACCAAACCAGATATGGCAGTAATATTCAATGTATGGACAAATGGTAGATTTATAAATGTACCTCATCTCTCCAGTTTGATATTTTCACATCCTTCTCAAATTAAAGATAATATTTGAGCTTATTCTCTTCTTCACTTTCTCATTCTCTTTCTCTCTATCCTTCATTATCTTTCTCTTTCTCCCCCTCATTCTCTCTATTCTTCTCTTTCTCATTCTCTCCTTTTCTCCCTCTCTCATTCTCTTTCTCCTTTCCTTTCTTAACTATTCAAATAGAACTTAATACTTTAATTAATAATTTAGTAAAATAGAGAAATCTAATAGTCATTCTAATACTAGGAAGAGAGCACATTAGAACAACACCCATGAAAATATTTATAGAAAAAACAGAGGGAAGCCATGTCATAGTGGAGTGAAAGCGACTGAAATCAAGATGCCCAGGGCAGGACTGATAACATTATAAATCCTTCTTGAGATTTTATTGAAGAATCTTGTGATATATCACTAAACCAGATATGGGAGCAATAATCAATGCATGGGTGAATGGTAGACTTATATATGAAAGTTATTATGGCCTCAGTATACCATTAATTCTGAAAGTTAAAAAAAAAATTAATAGTCTATATTTATAGATTTTATGAAAACATGAGAGACACATAAGCCAGTTTACGAGTTAAGGATTTTCTTAATTCCTTAAAAATACATTGGCCAAATATCTGTCTCTTAATTTTATGGTGGCCAAATATCTGTCTCTTAATTTTATGGTGGCTAAATATCTGTCTCTTAATTTTATGGTGGCCAAATATCTGTCTCTTAATTTTATGGTGGCCAAATATCTGTCTCTTAATTTTATGGTGGCCAAATATCTGTCTCTTAATTTTATGGTGGCCTAATATCTGTCTCTTAATTTTATGGTGGCCTAATATCTGTCTCTTAATTTTATGGTGGCCTAATATCTGTCTCTTAATTTTATGGTGGCCTAATATCTGTCTCTTAATTTTATGGTGGCCTAATATCTGTCTCTTAATTTTATGGAGGCCTAATATATTACGTTGACCTAATATCTGTCTCTTAAAATTACGTTGACCTAATATCTGTCTCTTAAAATTACGTTGACCTAATATCTGTCTCTTAAAATTACCTTGACCTAATATCTGTCTCTTAAAATTACCTTGACCTAATATCTGTCTCTTAAAATTACCTTGACCTAATATCTGTCTCTTAAAATTACCTTGACCTAATATCTGTCTCTTAAAATTACCTTGACCTAATATCTGTCTCTTAAAATTACGTTGACCTAATATCTGTCTCTTAAAATTACATAGGTTTGTGTTTTATTTATTTATTTTTCTAAAAGATGACAGTGTAATATTACTTTTAGAACACTTTACCTCATTTTTTTTATTGGTAATTCTGTATTTATTATTTAATAATTTACACTAATCAATACTTCTCTTTGATAAGGACTGGTTGAAAGCCTGGTCGTTTAATAGGATTTACATCAACTTTCTCAATATGTCTCTTCCTCGTCCTTCTATCCTTAATTTTTGTACCAGAAAGAAATTGCATAAATAATTTATATACATCTAAAATAAATAATTAAGTAAATTAAATACCAATAATAAATAAATTGAAGCTCTATAAAAATAAAGGGATTTATGCACCTTAGACCTTATCCAACTGGAACCAAAAGGATTAATTCATTTAATCAATATATTCATTCAAATCTTTAATTGCTGCAAAGCAATACAATATATTCATTAAACAATAATTTCAATTAACATGTATATTTGATAATTAGAAATTAAAAATTTTTCAGTAATTTTTAAGAATTAGAATTTCTTAATAAACTCATGGGCATTTTAAACACCTGAACATACCATAATTTTCCCACCTGAAATAAAAGAAATCCTTAAAGTTGGAAAATATATCTTACAGATGTATTTAATTAAAATACCAAGTAATACAAACATGCCAATGTAAAGTGTTTTGCCTTGCAGAAGCCGGAATGATGGTTATCAAAATTACACTTATAATAAAAAGATCAGAGATGGTCACATTAGGCTGTATCAAAAGCATTTTCATTTTTTTAAAACATTTACTTCAAAATATAATTATATATATATATATATATATTACTCTTATAATACAAGGGGTGCCAAAGGTATCACTTTTTTTATTAACTTTTATTGAACTAAAATGAATTATAGTAGATTAAGATGGCTTAAGATTAACTATAGCTTATGCATTTGGGATTGGTTAAATCATAATTTTGAGATGAATTGGATAAGATGATGTGAAGCAGTTGAGTGGCCATCATGATCACCAAAACTAACACCACCAGACTTTTTCTTGTAGGGCGTACTGGAAGATCATTTTTATAGGCTCAAATTTTAAACAATTTAATATAGAAATGTGTCAAATGGTTTGTAGAAGTGTTGCTGATAGGATTCAGTATTGTATTGAATATGAAGATAAGCATTTTGAATGTTAAATAGTTTGTGAATTATAACAAATCATGTGGTTTTTATGTGAAACTACTTAATTTTCTTAAAGTCCTAGGAATTATTTTTGTCCAATAAAAATTAATAAATGAAAAAACTGTCTATGATCTAAAAACCTCTCACCTTTAGTAGAAGCCATGTTAGAAGAAGGACGACTCTGAATTTTTTTATTTTTCTTTTTTTAAGCATTTCAACCTAAGCAAGGCAGGAGTGCCACTAGTGCACAAGGGGTTACAGAAAGTGGGAACAAGAGTAAAGAGGCGAGAAAGAGGAAAGGATGAAGAGAAGGATGGGGAATAGATCAAGGCATCTGAAGATGTTGCATTTGAATATTTGGAGATTATAGCGATCAAGGAAGTAAGTAAGAGGAAGGGAGTTCCATAGATGGGAATTGTGAGACATGAAGCTAGTGGAGAGACGGTTACATTTAACCATTTTAACAGTGAAAGGGTGGGACTGAGATGTCAACCTAGTGGCACATTTAAATTCATGCAGTTTGGGAACTAGCGAATGTAGCTCATCAGAAAAGTTACTGTGGAAGTATTTGTAGAAAAGACAGAGGGAAACGACGACACATCTGTGAGAGAGAAACTGTAAATGAGATGCCAGATCAGGGCCAATCACATTTCATATCAGTCTCTGGATTGAATACAGGTACATGGCAATGGCACCTAGAAACCACAAAACTATCTTCCACAATAAGTCACTGCTATTTATAGAAAAACAATCAATGGAGATGCATGATTACCTATGTTCAGTTAATGATAATCTCAGCATTTATCAATAGATCAATATTTCTGTTGCTTCAAGTCTCTTCATAATCTGTGAGAGGATTATCCAGCATGTACTGCCATACAGCAGATTAGATATTATATAACAGATTATATAACAGTTCAAAACTGTTTTCTTAGGACATTTTCCTATCTCTTAATAATTCAACATCTGGGCAACAAAAACATAAGATACGATTGCTCCCTGATTCCACAGATCACTAATCAAAACCCATCAAAATTCACCCTCACAACTAAAGGAACAAATACTACACCCAAATTTCTGTCCTGCTTTATTATGATACCCCCAATATGTAGTCCACTTTTGCAGCTGAAAATTTTATAAGATCTGTTTGGATAAGTCTTGTTCTTATGTACATCATCTTTGTCATGTTGTATTGATAATGTTATAATTTATGAATATGTCCTGAAGATGGTTTATTAGACCGAAACGTCTGACGTTGATATATTAACATTAAAACAGCATTATTGTATATAAGGATTTTTGTTTGTTTTTTCCGTATATATTTTTCTTCATACTGTCGGATCTATATCCATATATTTGCTTACATATATATATATATATATATATATATATATATATATATATATATATGTATGTATGTATGTATGTATGTATATATAACACAGTGAAGTTTTCTATCACTGATGTTATGGGATTGGAATCCAAGTCATTTTTGTAATTAAAATTTTCTACTCTAGATTTTCCAGATCTATTGACCAAGATCCGTACTTGATTAATACAGAAATATATTATTATAGTTGTATATTTATTAGCAACTAGAAGATAAGGCTGCTCATACATCGTTTTTTTATACATTCTAACACATTTTTTGTTAACTTTAGATATTTTAATGATAAAAAATTCAGAATTCTTTTTTTACATTCAAAAAAGCGTTAATTGTATAGATAAAAATCCTAAATTACACACATGAAGGAAATCTAAGTAAAATTACTTATATATTGTTGCCATTTGTTTCAACAGTATAGCTAAATAAGTTGTGTTACAGCATAATTGTCCATCCCACAAAATGTTTAATATCTAAAAAAACACTAAACTAATTAAGTTTCTTTTTTTCAAGGTGTTCAGATAAGACATTTAGCCATCTTCACACCATTTGTTGTAAGAATCACAGGAAAACCATTTGAGTTATTCAGCTATAAAGAGAACCGGTTTTAAAATCGTTTTGTGTCAGCC